CAAAGCAAGAAGTATCACTTTGGGCCACTTCTAATGCAGTGAATTACACAAGTCTGAATGAAGCTGGAATGTATCCCACAAGGATGCATTAATTCCGCATACTCCAAATCCAGCAGTGTTGAACAGACTTATCAGGAACAGACACTTCAGACTGCAAGAGTGATTTAAGACGGTGCACCACAGGGGCACGTATGCTGAGCCTCTCCTTAACTGGCTAATTTTTTTCAGCTGAGCTATCACTGACTCCATCATATTTCATTCCTGTAGAAACCCTGCTTGGAAATAGCGTGAAGGAGAATGCCCCTTTCTGTGCCTCTGTGAAAGAATCTGTTACAAGTTGCCTTGCGGCACAAGATGATTGCAAGTATTGGCAACGCTGTTCTGTAGTCCCCTACCATGATACGCACAGAAACAAAGAAACACAATTTTAACACCTTGATTCTGAGCAGGGAGCACCAACCAAAACCTTGGCGCTGGTTTCACAGTTAAGGGTTTGCCCGATCTTCCTTCAGAGCTCAGATAACACCCAAAAGGCTGAAGACCTCCCGCAAATCCAGAAACCTTCAGGAAACCCTCAGCTTTCTCACCTACCCGGGCAGCTCCAGGGCCACACTGTGAACAAGGCTAACTGGCTCATTTTAACCACAAGCCCCTGTGTGTGGGCAGTTCTATCACGTCCATCATCAGGGTATTGTTTCCACTTAACCTTCGCATTTCCCCTTTCTCACAACTGATACAGGTTAGAAAGGCCAGATTTAGCTGACTGTTCACAGCATTTATCGATCTGAAGAGGTTATTATGATAGACTGCAAGTTCACAAAGTGTCTTGCACTCCAGCTCTGATTTTCATAAAGCTATAGATTTTGATTACTGCTGCCCTGTATAGGTGCATTGAGCTAATAGTTGCAATGAGCTACCCAATTCAGCCCAGCTAAAAGCAGAGCCCCAGTGAGAACTCTTATTAGAGTGCTGTCTCCTCTGAGCATTGCTTAGCGTTTTGCCTTTGTAGAAATACAGGTATTTAATTATGCAAACAGAGATGAGGCAACTTCATGTTGAAGAGCTATAGATTCAGCTACACTACACCAGTGCTGGTATCTGGATTGTTCAATATAGATGCAGCCCAAGCATTCAACAATCAAGTATCGTCCATGAAGTATCTGCATCTCACCAGAGCACTGACAGGATCCCCAGAGGACCTCACTGATGCTACCGTTCCTCCTTTGATCTAGATCAGACTGGCAGCCTGCTGCAAAATGAGCTTGGGCTATGCTCATGGCATTGCTGCTGTTACCTCAGGAAAGCCCAGCCCTGCTGATATTCATCATTTCTACCCACCAAAGCAACGAAGAAGCAGTCTTCTTAACATTTCCCATTGAGAAGGCCAAGTAAAAAAGCTCAGGTATAGCAACAGTTCATAGAACTGCACTACAAGCAGTGTACACACATTAAGCTTTGGTGACAGAGCAACAAGGGATGCTTGGCATTCAAACCCCAAGCCCAATACAGTACTTCCCAGGCCTGACTTCTGGACAAGCTGTCCTTCCTTGTGATACTCCTCCTTTACCTTGCTTAAGATGAGCCCCTCAATGCCACATGGGCAGAACAACCCAGACATTGGATTCTGCCTGAACATCTTTGATGCTTAATGGTGCTCAAGCCATTTTCATCAGTGCAGTTTTGAAGTACAGAAACAATTTAATTCAGATGAAGTTGCAGCAAGGAAAATTAAGATTAATCCCTTCATGTGTCACACCCACAGTTGTCTTCCTTCCAACAAGGATATCTATCAATACTACAACAGTTCAAGTTAACAAAGAAAAAAAAACCTGACACAATACTACTTTGATAAGAGATTGTAGCCAGGTTGGTGACCAGGACTGATGATCTTTAACATTCTTACCTCTGTTGGGCCATGCTGGGCATAGAGTGTCAACTTCCCTCTCCACATGATTACAGAACTGGCTTATAATTCAGCACACAGGGTAGGCTTGAATGCCACATAGCATATTTTTCTTTCTCTTATCGTGATATCCATGCGTCTAGCAAGAGATATCAGCCCCACCTAACACACTGCTGAGATTTTCTCACATAGTTACTTAGATAGATAAATCTCCATCCCCAAACAGCTACGACACTAACAGGATGAAATACTAGCCTATACCATGATTGCCTCTCACTGTATTTTACCTTGTGTCTTACATGGTATTTTTATTCGCTTGGACAAAAATACTATAAACTAGATTGGATTTTCCTGAAAAGACAAAAACACACACACCCCCTGAAGGATTGCTGTGGAACATTTTCCCTGTGGTGATCAACCTGCACTGGAAGATGTTAAGGTTTCTGATCACAAGACTTCTTAAAACCCCTCAACTGTGCTCACAGGAAAGACACAATTCTCCACTTTTATTTGCTTGGTTGGTGCTTTATTTTTCTTTCAAGATTCTGCTGAGTCTGCTTGGCTCATGGCCAAGGGATGCATTTTGCCTCTCTATTTGTATAAGTTAAGAATGGCCATATTCGAGTTGATGGGGAACAGGATGGTAGAGAAACAGACTATTAAATAAGCCCACTTCCTCAGCAACAGTCTCTCTTTCTCCAGCACTTTTAAAACCCTGGTTTTCAGTACCAGTCCATGCTGACACAAACATTCTGCCTCTTGACCTAAAGCAGATCAGAGCTGTGTCAACACCAAGCATCAAATTCAGATGGGGTAAATTGCTCTGAACCTCACTTCCTTATAACCTGCCCTTAAGCTGCCATTGTTTCATATTCCAGGACAAATCACTAGCCAGAGGGACCTGCAGCATTTAATGCAGATGAGCCTTGCCCCAGAGGGCACCTGGACTTTTACAGTACCTTACGTGTTACCCAACCAATGACATCCCTAACTAAGGCCAAGTGAAAGCTTAATCCTGAACGTGCCTGGTTTCCAAAAAAGAAGACAATTATCCCCAAGCAGACAGTGTACCTGGTCAGGATACAAAAGTTTCTGTGCTTAACACAAAGCCTTTGGTAGGAACGGAGACAGTATTTCTGTGCTCCTAGGGCAACTAATCAGTGCTCAGAGCTGTGTTCAAACATCTTTCCCCAATGCCAGATATCTCAGCTACTGCTTCACACTGAACTTTCCATAAACCTAAAATCTGTAATGTCTGTCTCTACAACTTAACAGAGCAAAAGCTAAATCCCTTCTCACAAGGGAAACAAAGTGATCAAAACACAAAGGGATGTAATTAAGGAACAAGTCTTCATTTATCAGTATCATCGCTAGGAACAGGTAAAACCCCACAAGGAGGTCCTAAGAGTCAAGTACTTACACAAGCCTGATCAACCCTTAATCACTCCAGTCCAAACAATTGGAAACAGATGCTCCAGATCCCTAGTCACCCCCTTCACACGTGCCAGGTGATCCCTGACCTGGCACTAACAGAAGACTGCACCTTTTATGATTGGAGATGAACTGCTCACAACTCAAACCTGCGCACCAGTGGCTGCAGAGCAAGGCACAGGACTAGGGAAATGAACAGCGCTGCCGCAGCACAGCAAACCTTTCACTTGGATCCAGGAGCCACACTAAAGCCACACTGTTCTGCTGGGCCTCCCCACTGGATCTGCAACTCACTAATTACCAGATCAGTCTCAGGACTACTGGCACTAATTAACACTGCAGTCTAATTAATCAGAAAGCCAGATTCCACTGAAGCGCTTTTGTGCAGCTATTTCTGCCAGGTGCAATGGAGGAGGGTTTTCTGTGGTTGGGTTTGGCTTTCTTGATAGCTCATTCTGCTCTGAACTAGCAGCAAGATTAATAGCCTTTGACAGGAGTAGAATTGATCACTTCCTATTAAACAGCTTTCTGTACTTTTTAGCATTGCTCTTGCCAAACTCAAGCACGTACCTTCCCCCTGGCCTTGTATTTTACTCTCACAACAGTGTTTTTTTCACATGACAATAATCAATATGTTAACTGTTGCTTGCCATAGATCTTTCCATCTCTAGCCTATGAGCAGCTTGAGCTGAACAAAGGAGTCATCCCATGATGAATTTTAAAGACTGAGGTATCTGCTGTGCCTCCAGTGCTGGAACTAAACTCAGCCTGCCCACAAACTCACGTTAAATCACAGCTGTGTTCTTCAGTTTAGCTCAGCTATCACTTCTTCAGGGACAATCACATTTCTTTCACTGTGCTGATGGCGTTTCAAGGACAAACATGTTCAACTTGGCCTTGCAAGAGGTCAGGACCAAGTGTAGCCCCGGACTTTACAGGAGTCTAAAATACTCACAGCAGAGTGCAGATTCCCTGCTGCCCAGGCACCAGGTAGGTATGAATGTCACTGCCAACACTTCATGTGAAACCCTTTCCCTCTCACATACTCTAAATGGACATTTGGCTTCCCAGACACCACTCTTTCCCTTCTCAAACATGTGAAACTCTGCTCCTATGATGGTAAAACAAAAGACTATTATGTCATACTGCCTGGCCTCCTGAATCTCCCCGAACCTCTACTTAAACAAGCCGAAGTGGACAAAGTACCCCTTCTGGAACATCCTCAAATTGCTCTCCGCACAATATTAATTTAGCCACATGGGAGAGAACTTATTTTTACCAAAGCAGTGATTTTTGGTAGATGTGAATGAACATGAGTACTGGCTACTTGAACTAAAAATAAACTGTGAAATATGCAACAGACCATAAACACAACCTGCCTTTAAATAATCCTCCTTCCATACTGTAGCTCCTCCACATCTCTATGCAGGGTTGTCATAATCCTTAGCCCTACAATCTATTATTAAGGTGCTTTGTTAGCTGTTTGTACTTTGTACTGCTTAAATAATTCAAATGCCAGCAACTAGAACATTACACCAACCTACACTAAAGAGGCTTACAGCTGACATGGCTTTAAGCAATTACAGCACAGTTCAGTCACACAGTATTCCACCAGTCCAACACTTTAAGTCCCCATCCAGCAGGACTTCAAGCTATAGTATCCTACCTGATTCTATGGAACAGAAGGAGATTGTGCCACCAGTGACCAGTTTGGAAAAGTACACGCATTCAGTAAGATGAAATCCAGGTAAGATCCAAGGTAAAACCCAGCAAGACACCCTCCTGCTCTGGCTGTTCTGGAAGCTCTGATTCTCTTAATGACGGGCAGGTGCTGAGCAGGTCTTAAATACCTCAGGTAATGTGGCAAGTGATAGTGCAGGGCTGCAAACTAGCACAGGGCTTAATCCTGACACTTTTAATGAGTCAAGACAAACAAAAGTTAACCCTTATCTTGCTGGAACCTACACAGGGTAATGCAGAATAGGTTGGGTTGGAAGGGACCTTTAAAGGTCATCCAGTCCATCCCCTGCAATGAGCAGGGACATCAACTAGATCAGTTTGCCCAGAACCACATCCTGCCTGGCCTTGGATGTCTCCAGGGTTGGCACACCTACCACTTCTCTGGCAACCTATGCCAGTGTTTTACCACCCTCACTGTAAAACATTTCTTCCTCACATCCAGCCTTAATCTCTTCTCTTTAGTTTAAAGCCATAACCCTTCATCTTATTGCAACAGACCCTGCTACAAGGTCTCTCCCCATCTTTCCTCTAGACCCCTTTTAAGGCTGCAATAAGGTCTTCCTGGCATCTTCTCTTTTCCAAGCTGAACAACCTCAACTCTCTCAGCCCAAAACACAATTAAGTCCTCACTGGCTGTATGCTTAAGAAAACTTTCCCAGTTTTAAGACATTAAAACCTAAATGCATCTAAACAGGCAAAAACTTGTAGAAATAAAGCCCTCTGTGCCTCAGTGAGCACAAGGAGGTAAAACCAGGACACCTCATTGTCCTTTTCCTACCTCTACAGCTGCACTGAGAAATGCCAAGCACAGATAAGCTTCAACATGCAAACATCAGCAGATCCTTCACCAAACGCATGTTAACCCAGATGCTTTTAAACTTGCACGAGAATAATTTAATGCAGGTCTCATATCCCTCTGAAAACCAAGGCATGTTTTCAACCTCCCATTACACATCCATGCATCACTGCATTTTTTGTATGGAAGGAAGAGGGGCTTTGCAATCATCCTGATAATTATACCTGCAGCTGGTGAAAATCAGGGGAAGCCAGATGGTGTCTCACCAATTGTTCTGCAGCTGGCCACAATGAAGGCAGCTGGGGAAGACAAACACTCCCACCACACTCATCACAGAGAGCAGCACACGAAATGCATCTCCTCCTAGCAAAACCCCAACTGAGTATTCAAATAAAGCCAGAGGATTGAGGAAAATTGTTTCATGCAATTGCCAGGGGAGAAAAAGGGATAAAAGAGGACAAAATCCTCAACCAATCAACCAAATCAACCTTCAAAAGGAGTCTGTAAGGCTGCAACAAACAACAAGGTCAGTTGCATTGTCAAATCAGTGCAGGAACACCTAACGCGGTTGATTCCCAAGACATGGGACTGAGGGATGTTCTTTGCTGCAGAAGTGGTAGCCATGCGTGCTCCTTGTGATGCTTCACATTTACTTCTGCAAGCTTAATCTCCTACCATCTTCAGAACTGCCAACATTTTCCCCTCCCTCGGCAACACACCATTGAGAGCAGATGCAGCTTCAAGGCTCAGAAGATCAGCTATATATTTTTGCTAGCCAGCGTGTGTTGGCTCAAAAAGAACTATTCATTAACCAAGAAGTGAGATGATATCATAGCAATGCAACCCTGCTCCACTGAAGTGCTTACCTAAAACCCAGGCCTTTGATTTCGTTTGACATGACACATGCAGACCTCTCGCTGAACGTTACAGACATCTCAAGCTTCAGCCAGCTCTCCTCCTACCAGAACTAACAAAAAAGGAATCTGTTTCTAAAGCTTTCCATACTTCCCAAGCACCAGCTGCCTATGAGATGGGAACTGTCATTCTGATGATTTCAAATCCGATTTGGAAAGGCAATTCCTTAAAGGGTCACTGATTTGTCTCTCTACACCTTTAGCTTCACTGCATCCAAGGGCTCTTCGGTTGCTGAATCCATTCCCAGAGCACTTTCCATTGCATCTCTCTAGCCAGTCACACCTCCTAGCTTTGCAACCCTAAGCTGATAGTCCCACGGCCCGAGATAAATAGTGCATACAGACTCTGAATCTATTTTTTGCAGAGCTGTGATGGCAGCAAGCACTCTAAAATGTCTATAGCAGTTGTGCGCTTCGTGTTATTCCCCCTCCTCACTTCATCAGGTTCTCTTAAACTCCTCGTGAACACTCAGGAGCATTTACACACCTGCTGGACCTTCACAGTGCTCAGTGGGTCAAATAATTGGTTGGGATCCATCACAAAAAGTGTGTGTGGGAGGGGGGGAATAACCCAAACCATAATTTCAGTCTAAAAGCCACCGACATTCTTCCAGCATGACAATACAGCAGTGACTGACACCTCTTGTCTCTGTTAGAAATTGCAAGAGATTGCAAATGAAGATGAAATGCTCATTTTCTCGAGCAGGAAAACCAGAGCAATCTCCAGAGATGTGCTGACAAACTCGCACAGTTCGTCCGTCACTCCGCACGATCAGGCTTTTGTTCTCTTCCTACAGTCCATCTTTTCAATGTACAGGGATGATTTTGCAGCCAAGTACCAAGCAGCACTGCTACAGAGCCTTGAAACAGCTTCTGCACTTCACCCCAGAGCCTTCACTGTTTACATGACAAGAAAAGGGATTCTTATGCAGCTCTATGCTCAGGATGCGACTGAGGAGATCATGATGACCAGAGTTCATGATGCTTCACAGATTGGCTTTTCAGGCTGGGGCAATCTCATTGCTTGTGCATCTGACCCCAGAAAGAGGGAACATACGCAGTTTATTTGGGAAAGGCAAATGTGTTCATTGACACTGCAGCTGCACAAGAGGCTCTTCAGTCCCTAGCTTGAAGAATGTTATCTCTTAACTCAGCCTAGCTTGCCATTAGAATCAGAGGTCCTGGTAGGTAAGTATCTAGTAAGAGTAGTACTTGGCCATTGAACAGTATGGGATGAGCAAGATTTTCTGTCAGCAGCAGAAATATTATTAGTTCCCCCCATGCTCGTCCACTGTTAGGTACATCTGCTTTGAAGACACATTTCTCCGGCGTGTTAGGACAACAGAGAACTATACATTAGTTTCTATTTATTGAATAAGCTCAAGCCTATAATGTGCTGAGTGTTTGCACTGAATGAGTATCAAGTGTATAACTGTGTGGGCTTAGCTAGATGAGGAGGAAGAGAAATAGGTCAACCTTTTGTGCTTTAACACTATTACAATGTTTACTTTCATTTAAATAATACTGCTGAACCATACACCTCTGTAACAAACTTGCAAGAACAAAAATACTGCCCCATGAACTCTTCCATCTAAGCCTGAATGTAAGTATCAGTAATGATCAAGGAAGGAAAATAGAGAAAGAGCTAAAAGTGTCATGCAAGAAACCCTAAAACACTGTAATCTGTCTTTCCACAGAGGATGATTCACACATTAAATCTAGCAACATTTTCAGACACTGAAGTGGAATAACATATACTGTGTGGGTATGGGGTAACTGGAAGACTAAAGTGATGGATAATTTGAAATGTTAAGATGCTATATTAAGAACATGTATTTATTACCAGAGCTGAAGAGAGTTCCAATTTATTTATTTTTTTAATTAACAAGTTCATTTTGGCTGTATTTGATTGATTTTCCTATAACTGCAACATTTGGTAAGCTGAAAGGGGAATAAACCTAACCAGCTCCCTTAGGACTGAAGTCCAGTGCCCATACTCCTCCCCACTGGGATCCCCCCAAGGCAACCACTATGTCTGTGTGCAGCCAACAGCTCGACCTCACGCTGCTGGCTCTTGCAGGTTTTAGCAATCCCTAGAGTTACACCCTGGAAAGGGAGGTACATGCATATATTGTGTGCACATAGAAAGATTTGGTTTTAAATACAAATAGAGATATATAGAGTAAATAAATGAAGTACCAGAAAAGAAACCCAGGCTAATTGGCACTGGGACTGCATAGCTGCTACTCTGGCCCTTGCTTTCAGCACACACCTATCACATCCCCGGGGGGCTCTCAGCCCGCGCTGTATCATACCATATCAACCGACTCCACATGGACCAGCTCCTCATCTGGTGTGAGCTGGCACTGCTCCAATGACTTCATCAGAATCCTGCTAATTAGCAGCAGCACAGGACTGACGGCTTTCTGCCTGAGGAGATGGGAACAGTTTTCCTGCCTACTGGCCTGTGGAAGCTTTTCCTAGCACGGGATGATCTTTTCTGACGTGGCAGAAGCACAGTTGTGTGCTGTGTTTCCATTTCTGGAAAGAACTGCAGTGACTTCTTGGTGCACTGACGAGACACGCTCTAGCAGGCTGTGGTCCTGCAAGACCCAGCGATCTCAAATAGGACACCGTGACCATACAGGTCAATTGGAAAAGTGTGCTTATGACACATTACCAGAGGAAAAGAGCTCTCCTCATCAATGGCACATGGCTGTGCTGAGCTAAGCAGTGTCCCCCTCTTGCAGTAAAGCCCCAGCATATGTGCAAAGTAATTAACAGCTACTGTTTAACTCCGGAAACTCAATGAACAGGGACCAGGCTAGAGAACTTCAGTGCCAAGAAACAACACACTGATTCTAATGAGGGATAAAGCACAGCACTTCCCTGCTCACTCTGCACCCAGATCTCCATATACATATTGCTGCACAGAATAAGTCTCTCCTAGCATCCAAACAGTATTTATTATTGATATTGATAGGAAAGAGCACCTATATAGTGCAAGAGATGGAATCCAGCTGTGCTACCCACAAACTCTGCCTCCAAAAGCAAAACAAATATACCATTACGGCAGATGAAGCGTGGCCAGGTTAAGTGATGTGACCAAGGCTACACAAAACAGCCAAAGGATGCTGAGAATCTGTTACAGCCCCCTTTTTTCCTACACTGGTAAAACTCACAATGCATTCCCAGATCTAGACAGACATCGCAAGCAGAGTCAATACTGCCAGGAACCCTAGGATTAACCAGAGTCACTTTGATTTGCATTGATACTAATAACAGCATGCAGAAAAGCTCATCAATTTTACCGAAGCTTTCATTAGCTATAAAGATGCTGGACAAT